TTTATTATATACGATTAACTAATTTTTATGATAAAATTTTAATTGCCATAAAATGGTTATTCAGTTTCTTTTCTCCTGATAAACAAAATATTTATAGGCTCATTAAAAAATATGCGATAAATTTTTTTTTAAATTTATATTCTTTGTCCAATTTTTTTTGCTTGTTAAAAATTGTTTACATTAGAATATTGAAAAAAATTTGTTGTGAAATATTTTTTTAAAATTTTTATTTGACTTATTTTTCCCTTTTTTTTATATAAAAAAAACAAATTTGTGTAAATTTGTATGTGTATAGAATATCAATTTTGATTCAATTAACGAACGCCACTGAATTTTATGGCGATTATTGAAACGTGAAGAATGCAATTAAGCGGTCAAGTTGACACGTGGAGTGTCAAAATAATCACGCAGTTGTTTTAACGGCTCAAATCGTAAATATAAAGGCCTGTAAAATAATCATTTTTATTACATCATTTCGATTACGAAAAAGATATATTTTACAACAAAATGACACAAAAAGAATTTAATTTTATTGAAAATCTCACCTATATAAAAAAAAAGGAAAAAAAGTCGTATAATAAAATAAAAATGTCAAATAGCTCAATAACACTCGATACGAAAAAGAATAATAAATAAATAATTTATTTTCACATAGAAAATTATTTGCACAAATTTTTATAATATAGAAAACTATCGAAGTGAAATATATTTTCCATTTTGCGTCAAAAAAATACAATTCATATCGAGAATAGGGAAATTAATTTTTTTTTCCAATATTCAATCTATTGCGTTTAATAGGAAAAATTTGAAAATCGAAAAATAATTACAAATTTAAAAAATGAATTTTTTTTTTTTTAATATTGGAAATATGATTAGGCATTATGTAATTTCTCATTTATTAATTACATCATATATACACAACAGTTGATTGATCGAAGAATCTTTTGCCAATTTCATGAGTCAGTATAGGTAGTTGTAATACATTAATTATTCATTTTGAGACACATGTATGTATGTTGATGACTTCGATTGACTTATAGAATGAATTAAAAAAAAAGTCGACTTTGAATAGACGAGAAATAATACGTTGACTTCGCGGGTGAATTTTAGTGGAAAATTATAATATAGTTAACTATAATAAATAAACAATAATAGATAATTAGAAAAAATCATTTGTATTTTTTTTATATAAAATTTTTCATCAAATTCATTATCATGATTGCAATTGATAAGAAAAAAATGATTGTGATTTCAAATTATCCGTTGTGTATTTTTTTTTTATTATTTGTTATTCATATTCCTTCTTCAGACACTATGAATATTTTATTAATTACATATCTTGTTTTTTTTAGTGGTTTATTAGCAATGATTTATTGCACTTGAATTAATATATGTAATTTATTAACAGTAAATATTTTTTTATCATTATAAGAAGACTTTACATAATACTGTTAATAAATAAAAAATTTTGAAAAAATTTTACCAGATACTATATAGACGGTGGAAAATTCACCATTATATTTTTAGTTTAAAAAATGTTTAAAAGAAAATAGTTTTCACTTTAAGATTAGCCAAAAGTTTTAAACGTTCCCCAGATAGCACAGAAACTTGCAGCAAGCTTGCGGCAAGTTAACCGTGCAAGCTTGCTGTAAGCTTTCCAGGAAAGGTTGCTGCAAGCTTGTCTGAGCTAGCGAAATGTCCCACCCAGGGCAAGCTTGCCTTGAAAGCTTGCTGTAAGCTTTCCAGGAAAGGTTGCTGCAATCTTGCCATGAAAGATTGCTGCAAGCATACTAAGAATGATTGTGGCAAGATTGCCGTGAGAGATTGCTGTAAGCATGCTACGTAAAGTTGCAGGAGAATTTCAACAAGCTTCTGGAAAGGTTGCTGCAAGCTTGCTGCAATTTTTAAAAAATACATTTTAAATTAAAAAAAAATTTATTTGTTTTTTTTTTTAAATTTGAAAATCCTTGTGACGTTTATTATTATTAATTATGTCCTGTTTATTTTCATTTGGAAACTTAACGAGAAAATTTTCGAAACAAATTTGAGGGGACTGGGAATTGAACCCGGGTTCGACAGACACTAACCAAAGACCCTAACCGAGAACCTACTCGACCAACTATCAGAGAATAAAAAAATCTTGCTCTTAACCCTCGACTGTTTCGTTCATATGAACATTCAGAACTTTCGGCTCATACTTTTAGGTTAACATATGAAATATATACTTTTATTTGCAAAATTCATTTTTTTTGGAACATAGTTTTTTTTCTGAATTTTTAAACTAATGGAGAGGGATTTTCACTGCAAATAAGATTTTTCTAGTCCAATCATAGTTAAGAGACTAAAATTTCAAGAAAGTTCAAAAATTGTCATTTTCTTGTTTTTTTAGTAAACATTTACAACGTAAATAAATTAATAATCAATTTTTCTACTTCAACTATAATTTTTATCGGAAAATTTATTTAAATTTTTTTCATGCTGATAAATTCTCTGTCTAACAAACTCTCTTTCCATAAAATTATTCTTAAATAAAGGAAAAGGTAAAATTTTAATCCATTTAAATTTACGTTATTCATTGAGGAAAACATTTTTTTTGGGGGGGGGATTATTTAGAATTTAAAATTATTCTATTTATAAAAATTTTGAAAAAATAAATTATTTTTGACAATTTTAAAATTTTTATTTTTTTGAAAAAATGAAAATATTTTAAAAATCCATACGATTTATTATTTAGAATCATGATGAAATTTTAGGTATAAAAAAAATTTCCATAAAAAATAATAAAAATAATAGAAGTAAAATTTAAAAAAAAATTCTATTTAACGAATCAAAATTTATATTCTTTAGCGTTGTGTTTTTTTTTGGCATTCATTAGAACCTAAAACCATATTTAATTAGGAAAAAATTAAAGAAAAATAATGTTTGTTTTAGAATTAAAATTAACTATCACTGAGAAAAATATGCTATTGAATCAATAGCATTTCTGCCAAAGGTATAAAAATTATTTATTAATTTAATTTATTAATATTTAGAAACTGTTTTTCTAATTTTCTAAACTGTCACCTCTAAATAAATTAAATTATTTTAGTTTAGTTTATTGAGAATTTAAAATTAGAAAAACAGTTTCTAAATATTAATAAATTTTTTAATTGAACTCAAAATTCTGACAGAAAAATTTGAACTTCTCTCCTAATTTTCATTATTTTTCAATACAAATTTTTTCTATAAATTTATTTAATTTCTATAAATTTTTTCTATAAATTAAATTTTTGTCCTCAAAAAGTAAAAATCATACATTATTATTAATATCAAATAGAAAAATTAATTTTGAATAATTTAAAAAAAAATTATTTTGAATAATTTTTAAATTTATTGAAAATTATTATTATTATTATTATTATTATTATTTTGAATTAGACCTTCTTTTAAAAAAAAATTATGATTGAAAATTTTGAGAATTATTCTAACTCAAATCTTAAATCACTTATAGAAATTGGAAATTTTGGTTCTTATCACGAAAAATATTTCAAAAACTTTTTAATTAGAATCAATTTTCAATGTTCATAAATCAAACTTGAAGAATTTTTAACTAAAAAGGAACTAGAAAAATTTGTTTAAATAAATACATTGAACTGAATTATTTGTATCGAATCTTTACATTTTGCCTGAAATGAAAAATAATAATTTAATAAAATCTCCCATGTTTTCTGTCAGTACCTATACTCTCTTAATCTGAATCAGTGAAAATTTTCACTGATTGCAATTCAGTGACTCACTTTTCACTAATTTTCAGTGAAGATCATTGGTTGAATCAGTGAATTTTTCACTGATTTTAAATCAGTAACCCACTTTTCACTGATTCAGATTAAGAAAGTATACATCTGTCTGGAGCTGTGAAAACATTGTTTGAATGTTACATACGAGTCCCAAATTTTGTAACATATATACACACATTATTATCATTATGTCAAAACGTCAAATAAATTATTCATTGTTTATTTTAGCTTATTTTCACAATATATATTCTCATTCGAAAAAAATGTCACTTTTATTGGTATTTCTCTGTAGCGATGAACAATGAAATATTATAAATTGCTCAAGATAATAAATTTTTCAATATATGAATTATATTTGCATTCGATTAAAAAAAATAAAAAAAAAAAATCCCCCACCCCAATAATAACAATAATAATAGGTAAAAATCAATTACAGAAAAAATTGAAATTTATGCGTGTATATATATATATGTATGTTAATTGAAATCTCTGCAATGGACTTTTGCGAGTCATTATTATTCTACAATGCGTTCGTTGAAGTCACAGTCACTCGCGTACGCAATGTCCCCGAGACTTGTATCTCTCATTGAAGTCTCTTCATCAGTCGTTATATACTCAAAACGCTTGCGTGTCTGTAAACATAACGTGTTTGATTGTTACGTTCTTGACATAAAAGAGAAATTTTTTTTTTTTTATCATTTTCAAAAAGTGTATAATTTTTTTTTTTTAATAAACTTTGATAATTTTTTTCTTTATATTTTAAATTAGTGTTTTTTCTAGGACCTTAATATATCAAATACTATTTTCAAGCTTGTGGCCTTTGGTCCATATAATTAAAATTAACAAAATTCTTCTTTAGTTAGTCTTTATTGATTTTCTAATGCATTTTCGCTGCGAACACAGCTCATCAGGACTACGAAAAAATCCACAAATTAATATAAGATTTTTGGGACGTTGTACATTAGTATAATTAATTTAGGTTTTTGCTTACCACATTTGAAGTGTTTTAATATTTTAAAGAAAAACAAAGTTCGTTCTCACTAATTAGTGCGATAATTAAATATCCCAAAAAAAAATTATACAACAATTAAAATACTGATTTTCTAAATATGGAGCTAATTTATTTAAATGACAAAAAACGAGAGTAATATATATATATATACAATACCAACAATAAGGAAAGAAATAAAGGAAATGCCGCGTTGTGGAAATGGATGGGACAACTTTCATATGAAAAACAAGTGCCTTACATAAAAGAAGAAAGGCTATTAAACTTTGTGGAATGAGAGTTGCCATATACCTATATATATATCGAAGACATTCTGCACAAGTTTTGTATAATAGTCCACCTATAAAGTATGTAATGAACAGAACTCTTGTATGTATATATACCATATGTGCGATTTTCCTGTGTATAAGGTAAACACAATTTCCGGACTCCTTGAGATGTGAGCAATAAGCATTGACTGGTCTAACCGGAAAAATGCATCAAGGTGATGAAGTTGCTGACCTGGTGCTGGAATTTATGTGCTACGTGGAGCCGCAAGCTTTATGTGAGTTTGCAATGGAATGTGTGTTGTATATATATATATATATATATATATATATATATATACATATATGGTTCCTTTGGAGTAGTATAAATATATATGTGTTACTTATACTACTTCTCTTATTGCACTTTGAAGACGACCCTGAGAAAAAGGAGAGAGTGACTATAAAAATTTTCAAACATTTCGAAAAACTAGTTGCAATAAAAAATTCGACATCATTTTTTTCACCTTATATAATATAGTTCAATTCTAATATTTAAAAAACAATTCGATTTTCCATATTGATATAAAATATCGCGTCAATATAAGATACGAAAATCACAATTTTTTTTTTTTACTTCTAAAATTCTCAACTTTGTACAATGAAAAACAATTTGATTCAAGTAATCGGTTAGGGTCAATTGGGGTAAATCCGAACGCTTTTAGTAAGTTTCAACAATAACATAAGTTTTTTCTTTAAAAAAAAAATACTTCCGGTATTCTGGTGCATGAAGTTGTTACTTTACTTTCATAGAACAATTTTATGGGGTAGAAAAAATTTTTGATAAATTACAATCGCAGGAAACTTAGCGTTCGTATTTACCTCAATACTTTGCAACTTTCCTAAAATATGGGGGTAAATACGAACGCCACTGTATTTCAGAAAAATCTTAGGGAAAATAAATTTAAAGTATTGCAATTGTTAAACTTATATAAAAACTCAAAAAAATACGATAATAAACCTATTATGTAATAATGCATCATATATAAATACAAAAATCAAACAGGTTAAAAATTAAAATGCATTACACAATTAAAACCTTCAATAACTTTATCAAATCATAACGGATTTTTGCAAAACTTGGTACAGAAAGTATTTTGGAGTGATTGAATGTAAATACAAAAATAAAAGTCAAATTTTTTAAATTCAAAATGGCGTACTTTCCTAAAACTTATTTTTAAAAATGATCAAATTTGCTAACCCTGAAACCCCCAGAGTAACAATTTTCGAGCGAATCCAATGAATTTTTTAATTCTCGTCCGCCATTTTGAATTTTGAAAAACTGACTTCAAATTGGTAATTAGCGACCCCAAAAACCGTAGAATACCAAATTTTATTAAGATCCTGAAAAACTTTTTTCAACAAACCATTTGGCAAAAAAATTGAAACACTCCTTCGAGAGAACAGAGATTAAGTTTCTGCTTATTAATTACTAACGAGGATACGTATAGAAAGAAAAACTTTTTTCTATGTACTTTTATAATGTTAAAATAATAGTGTAATCAAATAAAAACAATTTTGTGTGGCTTTGATGTAAAAAAAAATTATTAAAAATACCGTTCGGATTTACCCCAGTTTTCCAATTTTCTTGGGTAAATACGAACGGTCTGATATTATTAATAAAATTTTACAGAAGGCAAAAATCAAATATAGTTTCTGTTCTAGTATTCATAACAAACAATTATAAATAATAAAATGAATTTTTAGCTTCTTTTTCTTCAAATACGAGACAAAATACTGAAAGAGTGTCATCTTTGATTTTCAATCTTTTTTGCAATACTTGTTATCTTTGTTTATGCTGTTGCTAATTAACAAACAAAAAATGGGATAATACTTAGAATCTCTTCAAGAGGATCTGAGGTAAAAATTCTCATATCGAACTTATTTTTAAAAATTTTAATTAACCTGAAATAATTAGCGTTCGGATTTACCCCCCGTTCGGATTTACCCCGACTGACCCTACTTGACTATTAAATGAATATTTTTAAATAATTATTATTTTAGTTAAATTGCATTTTGTTTCAAAATACAAAAATTATTGGTTCACATATGCAGTTAAATTAATTGAAATAAATATTATTTGATTCAAATAAATATTTATGGGACGCATGCGCACAGAAAAAAAGGTGGGTAAAAAGTTGTAAAGATAGAGGATAAAAGTCGTTAGGATATACAGGGTAAAGGATAAATTTGTGATGGATAAAAATGTTACTAAAATATTACTAGAAAAATGGATGTCATATTTGAGAAAACTGTCTAATTTTAATAAAAATATTAGTAATTTTACACTTAACTTATTAAATTCACAAATTTTATATAAATAAATAATTGCACGTGGAAATATTTTGCCTATAATTATTGTCTATTAATAAAAATATCTTTGACTAATATGTGTAAAATGTGATTAGTAAACAAACACCCCTAACCTCAAAATTTATATTTTATCACGAATTCAGAGAATCTATAAATGCAATTGAATCAAATATATAACAAAATTAATTATCAACACACATTTTAATTTTATTAGATTTCAATAAGCGTTTTCCATGTTCAAAGTATGAATAAAATTGATGAAAGTGGAAACAAATTTTCTTCCCCCCGTAAGAATAACATTGTGTCGTCTGTTTGTTGTCTCTCCAGGCCTCTGACGTCATATCTTGAACTCGAAATATCTCGATGAACTGACACAGCCTAATATGCACAAAAAATTCAGTTACTACCCAACTCTGCTTTCGTGCAACAATACAGACGTTGAGTTGTAATTTCCCAATTCTGATTATTTACGCACTGTCGTCAGCTGTCAGTTATATTAGTCAAAGATATTTTTATTAATAGACAATAATTATAGGCAAAATATTTCCACGTGCAATTACTTATTTATATAAAATTTGTGGATTTAATAAGTTAAGTGTAAAATTACTAATATTTTTATTAAAATTAGACAGTTTACTCAAATATGACATCCATTTTTCTAGTAATATTTTAGTAACATTTTTATCCATCACAAATTTATCCTTTACCCTGTATCCTAACGACTTGTATCCTCTATCTTTACAACTTTTTACCCACCTTTTTTTCTGTGTGATTATGTTCTAGAAATCATTAGTTAGAATTATAATTTTATGAAATTTCATTTGTCATAATTATTTTTGAGCCGAATTTTGTATTTGTTCGAATTAGTATTTTGCAGAATTTTCATCAAAACGATTTTCTATATTATAGAATTTTTATATAATCGAAAATTCACTTCACAGAATTTTTATTTATTCGAATTTTCATTTAACATAATAGGCATTTTAAAGAATTTTTATTGGGTAGAATTTCATTGCATAGAATTTTCATTTTATTCTTTCAGATGAATTTTCATTTGTTCGAATTATTATTTGATATAATTTACATATAACCGATTTTTCATATTACAGAATTTTTACTTAACCGAAAAATAATCCGAAATCTTTATGTCGATTGTTTGTTCGGACATTTTCAATTTCGGACAAATGAATATTCTATCAATTAGAAACTCTGTTTAATGATTTTTCGATTAAATAAAAATTCTGTTATATGAAAAATCGGTTATATAGAAATTATATCAAATAATAATTCGAACCATTTAACCATTTAAGCCAATATTACAAAAAATTTGACGTGATGTGCCATTTTTGAGGTAGGATTCGTATTCTACGTCAAAAAACCTATAAAAATCACCTTCCCCTTTCTTTGTAACAGAAGTGACCCAAAATTTTGTAGGCCTGTGTTATTTAAACAACAAAATTTGTTATTGTTTATAAAATAAAATTTTTTCTCTTCGAATTAAATTATATGGAAACTTTTTACTACAAAAAACACCATACAAAATACACAAAAATACGTAGTATAAAAAAAACCGGATATATTTTTAAAAAATTCAAAATTTCGAAAATTTTAAAAAATTCCGAAAATATTGAAAAAATCGTTTTTCCCACAAACAGTTTTAAAAGCAAGAATTTAACCTTTAAATTACAAAAAATATAGTAAATTTTGAAAAAAAAATTCTGAATGAAAAATTTTCATGAATTTAAATTACAGTTTAATTTTACTAATGAATTAGGGAAGAAAATTATTTTTTTAAATTAATTTTATTAAAATTTAACTGTCATATAAATCATATGTTAATTTATTAGGTAATAAAATGCACGGATAGTTTTTGTGAATTTTTTTTTTAAATATGGAACTCCTGTGGAGTTGGTGTAATGCGATATATATATATAGAGAGAGAGAGATATGACATCTGTAATATTACTTCATGACATCTACCAACTTTTTGAAACAATTAAGTCACTCGATTGTTTCTGTGACTTTGTGGCTTTTATACAAACACTTAGTGGTTTCATGGGAATTAATTCTATTCCCCTAACTGATATTTAAGACACACTCTTTATTGCTATGTAATTTCTGAACAATTGTGGCATTTCGAGTGGAATTAAGTGCCATTTGCGTCTATCGCAATCATAATTGCATAGCACACAAAAATAGAACAACTATTGTTGTAATTAAAAAAGTATATACGATAATTTTTACACTCGTAGAAAAAAAAAACTAAACTCAAAAGTATTCTATTTATTTTGATATACACTTACAGCAAAAATGTCAATATAATTTATTTTGAATTTTAGACAAAAAAAAAGTTATTCTTAACTTAATTTTGATTAAAAAGAAATCGTCTATAAATTAACATTTTTTAAATAGTTTTTTTTTTATTTATTTTAAAATAAAATATTTTGTCAAACACTTTTACCCAAAACTATCACTCACATCATTAATGGCCATTTGCACAGGGTAATGAAACTCAAAAATTGTACACAGGAATGTATTGCCAAATTAAACAATAAAAGTGAAACGTTCCAAATGATGTGTCTATGAAATGTAACATTTGGGACGTTTCACTTAATTTAACAACACATCCCTGTGTACAACCTTTAAGTTTAACTACCCTGTGCAAAATGTCCGTGTAAATGTTGTTATCAAGTTTTATCGTAAATAGTCACAAATTTATTTGTACCATTTCAACAAAACAAACAAATAAAAACAAATTTATTTGTCAAAAAAAATGTTTACTATAGACAAAAAAATTTAATTTAATAAAAAGTTTAGTAATATTCCTGTAATAACTTCGATATTATAGATTACAATATATTAATAAATGTAAATATAATGATAAAATCGAAATACTCTAATGTTGCAGGTATATGTAAATTAGAGC